TAGGTGTAGCTATACTGTCTCTCTGCATGTGTGTCTCTTTGTCTTTCTTTTGTCGTTCAGTGCTGGATGGCGTGTCGACTCTGCCAGGTGCGCCCCACCGTCCCTCGCCCCTCGCCAGTCGCTACCCAGTGTCCGAGTAATCCCCCAAGGCGGCTCTCCTCCGTCCGCGGGCCGGATGGCTGCGGCCGTCCCCTCCGTCCGCGGGCCGGATGGCTGCGGCCGTCCGACCCATGGGATGACCCACACCTGCAACCAAGGAGGGACAACCGAGAGGCACAACCGAGAGGGCGTACCGACTCAATACGGAGAGACACTTCCTCCCTTTCACCTCCTTGACTGTTCTGTAGGACCGAGGCCGCTTCTTTCAAGATTTCTGTGGTGTGTCGGTATTGGCTGGGCGGCCTTGAGGCGTCTGCCTCGGCTGTATCCACCTGTCGGCAGCTGATCTGCCATCATTTTTCTATGGGAGCAGGAGCAAGATGTACACCACGCACTTCAGCCCGTGAGCCACCCAGAGGGAGGCCAGGGCAATGAAGTGGCGACGGCGGGGATCTCGAGGAAACTCGAAAACGGTCGCCTTCTTGTGGACATGCGGCGGTGGATTGCATGGCGCTGGTAGACGGGGCTCTTGTGGGGTGACGACCCTTGTTGAGCATCTGTGTTGTTAGCTTGTCGTGTTTGTTAGCATCGATTGTCTGTCTTTGAAAGACTTTTGATGAAGGACTGCTGTAGCGTAGATAAAAGGACTGCCTACTGACCACAGACTATCGTGGCCTCTGTGCCTTTCATCACCAAGTCGTGCGACCAACAACGAGCAGCATCATTCACAATGTCCACACACACCGACCACGTCGACACACACCCCTCATGTAGGAGCAGACGGATGTGCAGCGGGACGCGGTTTGTGCAGGGCCGAGTAGGGAATGGTGTTTGATCGGGTGGCGAGAGAGGCAATAAGGGTGGCAGACAACGAACGTTGATGTGGAATGAATGCATCCCCATGATAGATACAGTCGGCAGGTCCGTACTCACACACCCACACACGAGTACAAACTTCCCCTCCACGGCAGGCAGGTTAGGCAGGCAGACAGACAGGGAGCTGGATACACACACGCCTCCCACTGTCCACACACACACAGACTCACAGACTCGTAGCTAACTTGCAGCCGCCAGTGAGTGTATCCGCACACCCACATAGCCGCAGCAGCCTGGGAGGACGGGCAGAAGTAGATAGAGAGATACACAGACAGCACACCATAGACAGACAAGGAAGGAGCCAGTGAGTGAGCAGATCGCCTAGCTACATGGACGGACAAGTACAAGTAGGTAGGTATCCAAGTTTGTTTGTTTGTGTCGATCGACAACAGAAAAACGCGGCAATTAATGCGGCCCATTCAGCGCAATGCCTGCCGACTTATCAATACATACATACATAGTACTAACGGATCACTTTCCCCACCCTGTCTGTCTGTCTGTCTGTCTGCCAGTGCGGTCACTGGATAGCTACATAGACCACCCTCCCTCCATCCCGATTGAATTGGTCGCTCCGGCCATCCATCCATCCATCCATCCATCCGTCCGTCCGTCACGCCGCCCCCAATTGCATTGCAGCCAACAGGCATCCGTACGTATACACAGTCAGTCAGTCAGTCGTTAGATATCCATGTGCATGTCATGTATATACACAGCAAACACCCCTCCCTCCCTCCCCTGTCTCATTAACCAGCCAACCAACCAGCCAGCACCTTCCTAGTGTCCATCGCTCGGTCAACCGAAGGCAGGTCATTCATTCCTCCCTCCCCGGGCCGCCGTGTGGGCTGATGCCCCCCTCCCCCCTGTGGTGTGCGATCAGCATCTGTGTGTCTTCGTCGCTGGAGCCCCCCGGCTCCTCGTCGTTGGCCAAAGGGGAGCCCGCCTCGGTCGAGACGTTGCTGTGGTCCCTCTCCGTCAGCTCACGCGCCTCCTTGTGGGCGCCGTCCTTGTTGACAAGTTTGTTCTGTTGGTGGGGTGATTTGCTCTGTTTGGGCTCGGAGGCTGCTTGGAGCTTTAGATGGGTGTACCAGAAAATGCCGATCAGAGTCATTATCACGCCCTGCACTCATTCAATTCATTGTCCCCCCCCAGGACACACACACACACACACACACAGAGAGAGAGAGTGCCTATGGCTGTGGTGCGTGCGGACGAGCTCGCGAGGGATTGGTGGCTTACCGTGATGTTTTTCCAAGTGGCCTCTTGGCCGAAAACGAGGTATCCGGTGAGGAGGATGCAGGTGAGCTTGCCGTGGCCCAGGACGTTGTAGGAGATGGGAGACGTCTTGCCGATGACCAGAAAGATCGACAGATTCACCAGGAAGGCCAACGCCGCTGACAGACAGACACACAGACAGACAGACAGATCCACGACCGCCGGCCGCCTCATGTCATGTCATGTCATGCCTATGTATGTCGTGACTGACAGGCCGGCCGGGTGGGTACCGACTTACCTGAAGTGAGTATCCAGAATGTGACCCACGGGGTGAAGTCGAAGAGGAGCAGCCCCGGGTTGCCGTCTTTGTCGGTGACAAGCGGCTCCATGAAGGGCACCAGGCAGCACAGCATCACACCCGACACGGCCGACTGGTAGTACAGCAGCTGCGGAGATGTGCACTGCAGAGACTCCTGCATGGGGCACGCCACGCACCAGCCAACCACACACACATACACACACACACACACACATCTCTTAGCACGTCGCACAGTGCAATCAAGCTCCTGTGCACCCTCGCGCACCTGTTCCTTCTTGACCCATATCTGGTAGAGCGATGTTGAAATGATGCCTGCCCCGCCGAAGACGAGGCCCCAGAAGTTGACCTCGATGGACGTGACAGTGGCCAGCGCCACCCCCACGCACACAGGCACTAGCGATATGATCTGCCAAAAGGGCAACACCTGACGGAACAAGGCACACACAAGCCAAGAGTGTTCCATTCCATCTCCCTGGGTGTGGTCTGTGTGTGGCAGGCACCCTACACCGACCTGCTTGTATAGCGTATGTTGCAGGACGATGATCGTTGGTGTGGTGAGCACCTTGAGCAGCTGGTAGATGCCCACGGCGTTGTACTGCAGGCTTAGGTTGTTGAACACCACAAAGCCGCAGAAGGCCAGGCTGATGGGCACCACCGAGATGATGGAGAGCGCCTTCTTGTCAAAGAGGCCGTATCGGCTGCCGATCTCCAGGCCGACGAACGTGAAGGTGAAGTGCAACGTGGTGAGGCTGACGGTGAAATTGAAGCCCGCGTTGAAGGCTATCTTGTTCGCCCAGATGATCAGCACCGACGTCGTGAAGTTGAGAGCCATGTAAAAGGGGATCAGCCACCGGGGAGCCTCCGTCATGGCGGCGACAGGGACCAGCAAGAGTCACCAGACTAGAGAAGCAGAAACCAAACCCGGCAAAACAGGCAGGAAACACCGACCAGGCAGGCAGGCAGACAGACGCTCAGCAAAGGCCGCCTGACGAAGGCTCCTCCCTGCAGCAGCAGCAGTTTCAGGGAGCACCCTAGCCAAGCTTGCGAGCTCAGATCACAAGCAGAGTGGAAGAAGCCAAAAGATCTGTCAGAGGATGTCGTCAGAGCGTCGCAGCCGGCGCGAGGAGGAGGAGGACGAGGGCGAGCGGCGCAGCAAGCGCGAGCGCCACGACGACTACGACGATGACCGTGACCGTGACCGTGACCGTGACCGTGACCGCGACAGAGACAGGGATAGGGACAGCAGGGACAGGGACAGCAAGGAGAGGGCCGGCAGGGAGGAACGCAAGCGGAGGAAGCGCACCGGATGGGACGAGCCACCCACCACCACTGGAGGGGAGGGTGGTGCGGCTCCTGCCACAGCCGCGCTGGCCAACCCCGCGGCGTTGCTGGGCTTGGCCGCCAGTGGAGGGGCGGGAGCTCCCGCACCGCCGCTTGGAGGCGGGTAGGACGGGGAGGGAACGACACACGCATGGCATGGCGTGGCGACACACTTGTGTGTGTGATGGGTACGGTATGTCTGGTTCGTTTGTGTGTTTTGTGTGTGTGTTCAGTGGTCTGGGTGCGGTAGCGAGTCCGTCGCCGGCCAGTCTGCAGGAGAGCCTGCTGCTGGCCCAGACCAAGGCTCAGATGTCGCGGATGTGCCGCATCTATGTGGGCAACCTCGACTACACACTCACGGAAATGGTGAGTGAGCTGCACACGCACCCAACACCCACCCCTGCAGAGCGAACGGCATCTCATCCCTGGTGTTGTGATGTGTTGTGTTGTGCTGTGCTGTGCTGTGTGTGCAGGATATCAAGCAGGTGTTCATGGCGTTCGGCGGCATCACCTCCATTGACATGCCCAAGGAGGGCGGCCGCTCCAAGGGATTCTGCTTCATCGAGTTCCAGAAACCTGAGATGGCCGAGCAGGCACTGGCTGCCATGCAGGGCTTCCAGATCAAGGGGCGCACCGTGCGGCTCGGCAGACCCTCACCCCAGGCAGGCGACGCCACCGCACCCACGGCGGCATCGCTCAGCGGAGGGTTGGGAGCCAACGCAGCACAAGCTGGCGCGCTGGCGGCGGCGAGCCTGCTGGGCGGCACAGGGATGGGTGGGGCGGCCTTGCCGTCAGCACAGGCCGGTGTGGCGCAGGCCGCCCTGGCCGCGCAGGCCCTGGCGGCAGGGGGTGGTGCGGTGAGTCCGTCTCAGGCGGCCGATCTGGCGATGAAGCGCATCTACGTGGGGTTCATTCCGTACCAGTTCAACGCTGACGACGTCAAGCAGATCTTCCAGGTGTTCGGGCAGATCGTGGCCTGCGAGCTGATCCCGTCGCTGGACAAGAAGGAGCAGCACCGCGGCTACGGCTTCATCGAGTTCGCCACACAGGAGCAGGCCGAGCTCGCCATCAAGACCATGAACGGCTTCGAAGTCGCCGGCAAGACTCTCAAGGTCAACTGGGCCACCGCACAGGCCAAGCCCACCGGCACCATCCCGGCGGCAAACCCGCTGCTCGCGAACCTCGCCATCCCAGGACCGCTCGGCAACGGCGCCGCGCCAGCACTCGGCGACGCTGCAGCTGCTGTCGCTGGTGCCGTCAACGGCCTAGCGGGCTCGGCGGGTGCGGCGGGTGTGTTGGCGGCAGCCCCAGGCTCTGCGGCGGGCCTACCCGCCCCACCGCCAGCAGCAGCGGTGGCCAACCAGCCGTCGCCGACCCCCGCCCCCCTCGCCCCCGCCGCCAGTTTGCCCGAGGGCACGCTGATAGCGATGACGGACATGGTGGCGCCGGACGAGGTGGACGACGACCTGGAGGACGAGATCCGCCAGGAGTGCGGCAACTACGGCACCGTCATGACGGTCAAGACGCACGTCAACCGCGACAGCGACAAGGTGGTGATTTTTGTGGCCTTCGCGCAGCCCGACGAGGCCAAGAAGGCGGTGCCCGAGCTGAACGGCCGGTGGTTCGGGGGCAAGCAGATCCACTGCGCCATCTACGACGTGGCCGCCTTCGCAAGGGGCAGCTACGAAAACCCTTTCTGACTCAGGGGATGGGCGCGCACACATCCACACACACACACACGAGGGAGGGAGGGAGGGAGGGACACCCACACAGGCGAGAGAGCGGGAGGGGGTGAGTGAGTGAGGCAGAGAGAGCGGGCGTTGTTGTATTGGCCACTGAGTGGATTGGTTGATGCGTGTCTGTCTGCCTGTGATATGGAAATATGTGTTTCATTGTGTTTCCCTGCTTCCCCCTGCTTGCTGTTTTCCTGCTTGCTGTTTCCCTGTCTGTCTGTCTGCTGTCTTTCTCTGTGTGTTTGTGTTTTCTTCTTCTGTCTGTTTGTCTCTCTGTGTGTGTCTGTGTGTGTGTCTGTGTGTGTGTTTGTATGTCTCTCTGGTTTGGTTTAAGCAGCGTGGCCTCTGCGTGGCTGACTGCAGTGAGTTCCGGCGGGGCGGCCAGCAAGCTGACTCGACTCGACTCGGTCGGACTGATGGGATCATGGATGGGTGGATGCACTGCACCCCACGCCTTGAAGGGATCCTGATGCTACCCTACCTGCCACCCCACCCGTACTTCCACGTACGTCAGTCTACATGTGACACTAATGGGGCCACCCACCATTATAATGCACACACTCCCCCTCACCCCCTCTCTGTTTGTTGATGATATCTATGTTCTCTCTCTCTCTCTCTCTCTCTCTGTGTGTGTGTGTGTGTGTGCTGGATTGGATGTGCGGCTTTGGCTGGTGCGTGCAGTTTTGAAAAGAATCAAATCGGTGGATGGATGGATGGATGGATGGGTGGACGAATGGAGGAACGGACGGACGGACGGTGGACGCCACTCACTCGCCCCTCGTTCCCCTGACGCGCTCGACCAGCACAGCACACATTATGTGTTTGTTCGTATCCAACTGGTATCGGTGGTTGAGCGCTGTGCAGTGGATGGATGGATGGATGGACGGATGCATTGTGCCTAGCCGCTGCGGAAGCGATTATGGGTGGATTGTGGATTGCATGTGACATGACAGACAGCTGACAGCTGACAGGCCACCGACTTGCATTGCATTCATGTTTCTTGTGTCCATGTGTGTGATATCGATGGGTGGAGGAGTAAGCAGCAGTGGACTCGTGTCATTGTGTGCTTTCAAGTCACTAAACATGCATATCATGGCCGGATCTCACGGCCAGGTTTGACTCCGCGATATCCACTTGAGACGGCAAAGCCCCCCCAGAGGCCCCCACGCAGATTCGTCATGAGACTGCCGGCAGCTAGGATGAGACCGCCCGCTGCATCTCCGAGGCAGGACGTGCCCGTTCTCGAGCGGCCATCCCTCCCTGGGCTCCTCTTCGACTCTGATCACGATGGCGGCAGGCGCAGTGTCAGCCGCAGCACACTGTCGACGTCGACTGAGGGTGGCGGGGAGTACCCAATGCAGCGGTTTGGGAGGGGAGTGATGCCTCGCAAGCTGACGTGGGACATGGAGTCCCTATTCGAAGACTCCCGTCGCGGCGATGATGGTCTCAAGAGGCCGCCCCAGCCCGCCCAGCACAAGAGAGCCGCCAGCCCCAAAAAGCCGCCCCTCACACCCAGGGAGTACCTCGACACAATCATGCACGACGCCAGCAGCACGTCCTCATCCGATGGCAGATCTGACGATGAAGAGCGGCAGACGGCGCCTCAGTTGGACAGCTCCTCTCGGCACAGCCTGTTTCAGCTCGACCCTGACCGGCATCTGGCGTTGAAGCAGCTCTTTGAGGAGCCCCTGCGAGTGCCGCTGCATTGGTTCGCAAAGAAGGCGGCAGAAGGCGAACAGATGGCCGCAATAGCGCTCCTGCAGCTCACGTCAGCCACAGGCCTCCGCAGCACCAACGTCAAGACGCTCGGCGAGCACCTCGCCCGCCTTCTGTCCTCCGAAAAACCGGAGCACATCCCAATTGTCCCCCCTCAAGAGGATGTCTCCCCCAGACGGCGGCGTGCTGTTGGGCTCACGGCGAGCAGCAAGTTCGGCAAAGCGCCGACGGTCCTTTTCGAAGCGCCCAAGCCGAAGCAGGAGGACGAGAGGGAGGCACAGAGGCTGCTGCGGTTCCTGGAGCTGGGGCTCAGGGGGTCGTGTCCACCAAGGAATCCTCCGTTTGAGGTGACGTGGCCGAATGTGCTGGATCTGATACTGCAGGAGGGTCTGCAGAGGGAGGCGAGGGCGGAGGCGACGCTGGGTGGCGATGCTGTGGTGCGGCTGACGCAGCTGGGGGGGACCTTCTTCAAATCCCATGTGTCTGGGGCTCCTCCCTACGCGAGCATTGAGCACTCAGTGAGGTAGGGACATATGGATGTCCCCATGCAAGCAGGACATTGTATTGTATGGCACACACCGTCTGAAGTTCCGCCTCGTCTATTGTATTGCAGAGTTGCATTCCCCGTTCGCCACCATCCCACAAGCTTCCATGTCCTCACGGCTGCACAGGACGGCATCGTCACTCTATGGGAACTCCGCGCTTTCCACAGCAAGGGGGCCCCGCCCACAGCTGAGGACACCAAATCCCCTGCAGAGGACCGACAGAGCGATGTCGTCTTTGAGCTGGTCCCGCACGGCCAGCTAACGCTCGTGCCGGCCTTTCCGTCGTATTCGTCGCTCGGTGCGTCTCAATATGCACGGGAAGAGAAGGACAAGGCCCAGCAGAGGGAAGTGCAAGAATCGCTGAGGCTCTCTGCCAAAATGAGCGATCTGGTCGTCCGTCGGCGGTACTCCGACAGCAAGCCGAAGGTGCGGGATAGCCTCACGGGCGAGGCCAAGCGGCCGTCCGCAGCTGCGGTTGTGTCGCGAGGCAAGAAGCGTCCGACGGATGGCCACGATGAGGGCCCGCTGCGTGCGAAGCCGCGCATCAGCCGGACATTCACTTCGTTGAGCTCGGTGGAAAAGGTGACTGACCACTATGCTCAAGGATTTCAATGCGGCACCACTATTGCTGTGTCCATCGGCCTCAGGAAGATGAAACAGTGGCGGCCAGATCAGCTTTTGATCGCTTTGTGACCGTCCTGGGCGTCAAGAGAGCTTACAAGTCGTTCAAAGACAGGTAGGTAGGTATGTGTGTGGCACTGCAGATACAATGTCGCCATGTCTCCTGTGTCCTGATGTGTCCTTCTGTCTCTCTGTCAGTCTGACTCGCATTCGCGCGCGGAAGCAGAAGGGCGATCTGACGGCAGCGGAGAGGCGGCGGCAGAAGTCGCTGTACACGGAGCACTCGCACCAGTGTGAGATGCTGGATCGCATCAACAGGCTGCACGGCGACATCCATGGGCAGCTATACCGATGCAAGAAGGACCACATGGGCGTCATGCGCGAGGAGCCCCTGGACATGCACCGCCCTGCACTGGCCGTCTTCCAGCACTCCAAACACATCAAGGTAGTAAACCAGACAATCAATACCCATTGCTTAAGAATGGCGCCGTGTCACTTGATGTGCTGTGCGAGTGCCTTTGCAGCTGCATCCCGTGCATGTCTTGGAGCCGTCTGATCACATGCGGCATCTCCAGGCCAAGGGAATCACACTGCCCAACGACCAGAGACTCGAAGACGTGGCTGCCTTCCTCACGGCGCCCAGCCGCGCCAGTGAGTTTGCGAAAGAGCTGGACAAATGGTGGCAGAAGGTGGCCGCCAGGCTAGAGCTGCAGGAGAAGGTAAAGCCCTCGCCCCGCTCACCCAGAAGCCCAGCCAGACGATCGCCGAGCCGGCTGTCATCCCCTTTGCCCTCGTCGCCCCGCGGCCGCCGATCCCCATCCACCTTCACCCCCTCCTCTGCTGTCTTCTCCCCTCTATCGCCCAGGTCACCTGCCGCGACCAAACCGCCGCCCGCAAGGCTACACGAGGCCGTCATGCATATGGCAAGGCCATTGTCCGGTCGGCAGAGCGTGTCTCCCCTGATGCTGTCCCGTCGGATGGTCTTACAGTGGGCGTCGAAGCGCAAACAGGCAATGGGAGAGGCGGCCAGGGGGCGGGGGCTGTCGATCCACCGTGGAGTGGAGGGACATGCTGATGGCGGCGAGACGGCACGGAGGGTCACCTTTGGGCAAGACACGTGTGAGTGGCGATAGATAGATACTGTCTTACTCTCTCATGTCTTGGCTGTCCGTATTTGCAGCTTTACTCGGCGTGCGACGGTCTGCTGTCGGAAGCACGACGGGAGGCGAGGGTCTTTCCATGTCCTTCGCGGCAGGTGCGCCGCGCCACTCCCGTCTGAGCGTTGTGAGGCGGCAATCAGCGAGATCGCCCGCAGCCACCACACACACCACGCCCGGCAGACCCCCCAGCCGCATGGAGCAACAAAGCGGCGGAGGGGTGGCTCCCTGTGGCAAGGAAGAGGTGACTGACTGACTGACTGACACACCGTTAAAGCGAGACCTGTAGATATCGATTCTCTGTTCGTTCTGTGGGGGTAGCAAACGGAGCGTCGGAGTATGTTTGTGACGTCGATGGCTGCTGATCTGGTCAACAAGCGAGTGATTGTCTCACTCGGTGACGGCCATGTGGCCGTCTACCACCCATTCAGACTATTCGGCAGACGCGCACCGAGTGAGTGAATGAGTGAGGGCTCACACCCACTCACATCCCACATTGCTGCCCTGCCACCTCTGTCTTTGTGCCTGTCAGGTCTGCAACCGACTCAGGTGTTTCGGACACTCATAGATACCGCCGGCCAGGCCAAGGTCTCCCAATCTTTGGACACTGTTTCAACCTCATCTCCCCCCTCACATCAGCCCCGGAGGAGAGACGAGACGTCGGTGTCGGCTCGGCTGTCGATGTCCGCCATCCCCACCGTGCTGCACATCCCTCATGCGGAAGAAATCCCGCGACCCTCCCAGGCAGATCATGCCGCTGCTGCTGAGGTGCGGGAGGCAGCTGGAGATGAGGAGAAGAGGGGGACAGGCCGACAGGGAAGGGCATCAATGGCAGTTCACGGCGGTAAGGTGTCGCCAGAGGAGGAGGAGGAGAACAACAACCAAACATATGCAAAACGTAAGGGAACAGGTGGAGCACAAACAAAGGGAGTGACAGGTCGAATGGTGCAGACGTCGCATGTCTCCTCGTCACAGCACAAGAAGACCCGGCTCTTCAGCCCTTTCTGGACAACGTTGTGATTGTCGGCTTCGAGCGGGGACGCGTGGCTTCCTACCGCATCCTGACGCCACAGACAGCACAGACATACCAGTCAAGACAGCCGCGACCGGTGTCGCCCTCCAGCCGCAACAAAGGGTGCAAGCAAACCTGGGGTCCGCATCGGTCGTCGGTGGGCGGCCGTCATGTGCTGACGTCATGGGAGGAGCTGGAGACACCCATAATACAGATGGAGGAGCCGATCATCAGACAGCACAGGTGCTGCACTCGCAGACATGCAAACCTTCCAGACCGACCGACGGAGTGTGCGTGTCGGCGTGCTGTCTGCTGTGCATGTAGCCTTCACAACGGGGCGGCGGTTGTTGCCGTAGCGTATCGGAAGCATCTGGGTGTCTTCTCTGCTGCAGCTGACGGGTCCGTCGCTGTTGTCAGCCCCGCGTTCGATCCCCTCTGGACGCTGCAGCTCAGACAGAGAGACGGAACGGTCAACACACACACACACACACACGCAAGAAAAGGCAGACACACGTACTGTACACAGACAGGTGTCTCTCTATCGATCCCTTTGTTCCTTTGAGTGCAGCTGTTTCGCCTTCGGTCGTTTGACTATTCGTTGTTTCACGACCTAGTGGCCGTGACAGACAACAGAGGAGAGCTCCAACTCTGGTCAGGCCAGGCCAGCAGCAGGGAGAGGCGGGGAGATCCTCAGTCAGTAGTGAATGGGTGTTTGCCTGCCTGTTGCCTGCCTGTCTGCCTGTCCTCAGGGCAGCGTCCACACAGGCTAAGATAGCCGAGTCGGCCGACCCTCTAGCGTCGGGCCCTGACCGTTCCTCACCCGGCAACTCGGCGACTGTCTGCCTTGCCTTCGTGGGGCCTCTCAAGCATGCACACCGGACACTGCTGACGGTGCATGAGAGGGGAGTCGCAACGCTGTGGAATGCGTAGGCAACAAATCAAGGGTTGGCAGAGAGGGAGAAGATAGCTAGCTGTGACTTATTGGATTTTGCCAGTATCTGTCTGTCTGGCATGTGTGTCTCAGAACAACACTCGATCGCCTGCAATCCTGCACGTACGCAGATATCAAGGCATGCTTGTGATTGTCAGTCCGTCGGTGCTGCTTTATTCATTACTTTCTTTATCCAGCCTTCCTGACCTGCAAAGCGACCTGACCAACTGCATGTACGACCGCAACACCGGGATCCTGGTCCTCTTTGCCCGCACGTGCACCATGTGGTTCATGCACGAGCACGACGCCATCCGCACCATACCCACAACTGACCCCGTCGCGCCGTCATTCGCCACCGATGGCTGTCCGCCTGTGAGAATCCCCGCAGCCATCAACGCCAGCACACAGATCCAGCTGGTGGCAGCACAGCCCACAGCGGCACCATCGTCGGCGGATAGCAGCGGCATGCATGCCGTCAGTGCACCACCTGATCGGCATATGAGGGTGAGAGACACGAGGGAGATGGATGAAGGGGAAAGGGCAGCGGCGGGCGGTGTGCTGCCATCGGAGACCGTGTCGAGCTCCAAGTGTGTCAGCTGGAGGGCAAGACAGCCGGAAAAGACGGCTGTGGCCACTTCAGAGAACCTCACTGTCTACCCACTTAATGAACAACCGGGCAGAGGCGACGCCAAAGTAAGAGACGGCACGGGCGAGGTGCTTCCGCTGACGATCGGCTCGCCCACAGCCCACCTTGCCGCGATGGATGTGGTTGGCAGCGGCGGGAAGGCCGTCGTGCTGTCGGTGGACAGCGATGGGGTGGCTGTCGTGTGGGACATGCTCACGGGCGTGCCGACAGTCACCTATCTCCTTGCAGGACCGACTGACCCACCCATCACAACGGTACGCACCACAGCACACACATCGAATTCAAAGGAGACACAAAGACTCGTGTCTCTCTCCCTCTCTCTCTTGTCGGGTGGGATCAGGTGCTGTGTCCGCCCGAGTCATCTGTGTTCTTCGTGGGGGACATCAGCGGAGGTATTAAGGCCTTCTCGGTCTTCTCGGGCCGCTGCCTCCGGTCTTTTCAGCTGCCGGCACTCAAGAGCAGCACAATCCAGCCGCCAAGCAGCAAGGCACTGGACACATCCTCCCCTCTCAAGAGAAGAACGACACGCTCGGTCACGTCTGGGTCCAGCGGCGGCAGGGAGACTGATGTGGGAGGTGACAGGGACAGGCAGAAGGGACAGACACCGCAGGAGAGCGGCTTTGTGGCAGTGGCGTCGATCACCTGCAGCACTTCTTTGCAGTCGACAGACTCGCCGTGGGGCTTCTGCGTGGGATGCAAGGATGGGTCTGTAATCTTCTGTCCATCCCAGTGGCTCGAGGCGGAGGGCGTCCAACCAAGCTCTCTCAAGCCATGCAAGACGCTGCGCGCCCACTCAGCCACCGTCAGTGCTGTCCACTCTCTGAAGGCGTGCGTCATTAGTGGCGACACCAACAACCAGCTGGTCGTATGGCAGGCCCTCTCCGCCCCACAGCCGGTGCAGCACATCTCTCTCGCTTCCTCTCTCTCCAGCCTAGCGAGCGGCGGCAAGGACCGATCGCCGGCCATGGCTACCCTTTTCGCCAGCGCCATGGAGAAGGCCGCCAGCCCCACCAAGACACGACCGACAGAGGCACCTTCCCGCCGCAGCACGCGGGCACCGTCACTGGCCCCCGGCCAGGGGGGCAGGACCAAGAGATTTGCTTCGTTGTCACGCATGGCACTGCTGCCGTCGAGTGCAGACGAGCAGGCACAGATGCCTCTACCGTGTGTGACGTGTGAGGTGACGGGAGATGAGATACCCCTGGAGCATGAGATTGCGGACATCTTCGCCTTTGCCCCCGTCAAGGCAACCACACTCAGCCCATCCCTCGAGCCTGGTGCCGAGCATGCAACCAAAGGGCCTCCCTCGTTGGCTAGAGACAAGACACCGGAGCGTGTCTCACGGCTCTCTGACGAGAGCTCGCCCCGTTCGTCGCAAGGGCGGTCATCGGTTATCCCCCACTTCGACTCTCCGTTGTCGCTGCTCAAGAAGGGCATGGCTGCCGGCGGACGTGACTCACGCTTCAGCTTCATGTCCTTCACCAAGGCAGTCGCCGAATGCCAGCGGGGCCGAGTGCCAGTGCCGTCCTCCCGCAGAGCCACTGAGCGGCCGATGTTGTCTATTGTGCCTGAAGACACACAGCGGCAGGACAAGGACAAAGTGGGCGAGAAGGTTTCGCTGACAGCCACTGAGCGCCTCATGCTTCAGGCGAAGACGATGCAAACAGACGACCATGCCAGCAGCCGCAAGAGCAGCCGCGTCTCCGTTACCATTGGACAGCAGCACCATGGCGAGCACGCCTTCGACATGGTGCGCAGGTTTGTCGGTGGACAGCAGCTGCCTGGTGCAAGCGGAGACAAGGGCGGCAGAGGCGCCACGTTCCCGGGCGAGCTCTGCTGTGTGGTCCTGTGGCGGTGCGGCAGTCTGGGTGTAGTCAAGACGGGCGTCACAGCAAACACAGCCACAGCTGATGGTGCCAGCGGCAGGGCCGGTGTGGTGTGGCGACGCACGTGCTGCTGCCCGCCACAGTCGCTATGGGCATGGGACGCCCTCACGAGCACGGTGCTGATAGTCGGGCTGAAGGGTCAGGCCAGCCTATGGAAGGGCCCCGAGCCACAGATGGCACGAGAGAGGTCCTTCCAGCTCCCCCCACCTCCCTGCTCGCCTCCCCTGCCACAACACGCTGCCGACGCAGGCCAAAAGCGGCTGCTGCCAGTGAGCGGCTTCGCTGCCGGCGCCAAAGCCCAGCCGTCCGAGGAAGCTTCGCTGTCTTCTTCATATGTGGCGATGAGCGTGGTTCACATCAAGCGGACGCGGCTATTCGGAGTAGGCTACTCGAACGGGTGGGTGCAGGTGGTGAACAGCCATGGGGAGGTGATTGCGGTTGTGGGTGCCCCGCCTGGCACACCTGTCGCCGAGCGGCATAAATGGCCGCCGGAGAGCTTTATGAAGGACTACCTGCAGAGGCGTGGCAACCAGCTTTGGAGAGCCGCTCTACAATTCCGACTGAAAAGGCAACCGACCCAACAGAAGAAGCCGTCTCAACTTAATTGGTTGTCTGCATGTCATGTCTCTCTCGTGTGTCTTGATTGTGTGGTCTTCAGTGGGTCTTCCTTCTCTCTTGGCAAGCGGCTCGCAGAAGTTGTCTCAGAGGCCAAAATAAAGCGCCAGGAAGATGGGCGCCGCGCACGCGAGATGAAGGAGAGGCGTAAGCTAAAGCGGCTGTCACAAGCTGCCCAAGACAAGGAGGCCTCGTTTGCCCAGCCAACCACCGCCCGTCCGCAGCCAGCCTTGCCCCCTCCCCCACCCGTAATGCCCCAGAGCCTGCGTGACAAGAACGGCCGCCGTCGTTTGTCGACGGCGCCATCCGTAGGTACCGTGATATCGGCGGCCAGAAGGGAATCCAAGAAGAGACACCTGACCACCAGCATTGTGGCCAAGATTGCCAAGATTGCTCAAGCCTCGCTGGGAGATGAGGCTGTGTCCCGTAAAGGCAGCAGGAGTGGCAGCAGGGCCGGGTCGAGGAGGGGGTCAATTAGCAGGGCTGCGTCGATGGCCTCGGTGTCGAGTGGATCGTCGGATGGTGACAGGTGAAGGACAACTAATGCCTTTGGCGATGTGCATTTGTTCAGCGTGTGATGGAGACATACATTTGTACGTCTGTCTGTGGCTTTGACCTTCTTGGTGGTATGGGCGTGTCCATTGCGTTCATGTAATTTATTGTCAATCCATCCGGTTCATGCATCCCACACACAGTCGCACACAGACATGGACACCAGCAACGCTCCAACACACGCATGCAGCACATCGACTGGAAGCGCCTGCCTCCCTCCGTCAACCACCAGCTCATTTTCATCCGTCCATCGCTGCAGCGTGACAGGCGCCACACCAGGCGAGCCCTACTAGCTGAGCTATGCAATCATCGCATCGCGCCCCCTCCCCCACCCAGGTGTCCTCCGCCGAGTGCTCACTCACGGGTCGTCGATGTCCATCATGTCTGTGTCCTCATCCACCGCCATCATGGGCTCGTCTTGGTCGGCCATGGAAGTGGACGATGCCATCGAGGGATTGGCGGCGCTTGTCGGGGTGGTGGTGGCGGGTGGGGGGAAGCCTTGGCCGATGTAGGCGGCGGCCACGAGCGGGAACAGGGTGGCATCATGTGTGCAGTAGGGACGTACAGAGAGCTGTAGGGAGAGCCCGTCGGCTGGGTGGCGTGACACCGGGAGACACACCATTCTGAAGCAAAACAAACGTCCATAACATCCAGGACGTGGGACTTGTCTCTGTGCCTCTCTCCCTCCATCTTACCCGGACAACACGTCGAGCAGGCCGTTGTCGCGCGTGCGCCACTGCTGCAGCTCGGCTTTGATCCCTCCGGCACCCCCGAAGGCGGTGGAGAAGTGAATCGGGTTGCCCTCGTCGTTGCCTGGCCGCCCCGTGAAGTGAATGAGCTGGCGACACACCTTGACGAGCACCGCATTGCTCGGGCAGGCAAGAGGGAAGAAGTACTCTTGGCTGTGCTTGCCGGTGGTCAGCTCTATGGCCACGATGCCGGCCTGGAAGACATCCCTCTGCCTCTCGTCATAGGCTGGGAAGAGGCCGCAACCTGAATGCATTGGTGCAGATAACAGACTGGTGTCGGCCCGGGGGTTGCTTGGGGGCTAGAAGACGCTATGAAATAGCGCTTACTCGATGCTGATTGACCTGTCGATGAGAGACAATCAAAATTGAGTGACGACAAGCACACGAATCAAGTCGACCTGATGTCACGCACACCGCACGGCACCTAGTCAACGGAGGTAGGGGTCGATGGCACACTGCCACACACGCACGAATCCCAAAACACGCAAATGTACACGTCTCAAAGCGAGGCAATGTCAGTTGTATCCCTGTACCCGTTCTTCCCCGTCTTTGTTCACTACGCGTGGAGGCGCCAATCAGCAGAGGAGGCACGAGACACGAGGGGACTGGTGTGATAGAACCGTCGACC